TACACTGGCTCGTCGTATCGTAACAATCAGCAGTATGCCGTTTAGCGTTTTTAAAGAACACAGTTATGCTGGAGATAGAAAAATATATTTGATGCTAACTGTGACTGTAATACACAATGGCAATCTAAATTGTAACCAATTACGTTGAATTTTCAAAATTAACTCATACAGTAAAAAACTGCGTCGTAAGTCGACTGGTTAGGCTACTCTGAATTCGTCTGTCGGAAGCAGTGAGTGTGGAAGGATCGTCATCAAAGTAGTGTAGTGACCTACTTTTAGCAAGAGAACGAGATTGGTTTAATGGGAACAATTATTACTATAACCAATTGTACCAGTGATTGTTTCACTGTTCTTGTTTGTTTAACTGTACTAAAAACACCCATTACCCCTCCATTATTCTTCCGTTGACTGTGGCCTTGTACGCTCGCACGTTTTCCCATTGATTTTGCTAGTATTCTCTTTCGCACGATCTCGATATACTTTCGATACTACGAGATCGTCAACGAATAAACCTTGTTACAACCTTCCTCTGCCTTCTGATTTTCTGGTAGACACTCTTCTTGTAGTGGTGTTCATAGTCAACCGTGACTCGACTCCACGCTACAGTAGTATCACAGTCTGAGTTAGTGGCTCTATATCTGACTCCAGATAAATCTTCTGCTCATTGTTATCGAAATATACACGTTGTCAACTCTCGTATACTTCTGCCGAATTAACTTGAGTTTGAGAACAACTAAAGAAAATAAGTCAAATACGATAGTGAATTTTGAATACGCATATTTTATTGACTTGTTTATGTGAACAGATGATCGGAGAAACGAAGTGCAGAAAGCGAAGCGAATCGGAACGCAGTGATGCGCAGTGGGGAAGGAGAGTTAGCCAATTCTATGTGTCCACGCGTGACTCAATATCTGTAGTCAGACCAAAAATATGTAACGGACACTTAATGAATAAGGTACATAATTAAAACACACCAGATCATATAAAAAATAGACAGAGTTAATAAGTGGATGATCAACAAGTCCAGAACGTGGCTTGGGAAGAAGAATTAATAAGTTGGTCTGTCCAGAAGCTAAAATCGACTATATTAGTTTGAAATGGTAGTAGCCACCACTAAGCCATATTCTAGTCTCACATTTTCACAACATTTTATATTCAAGCAAACCATTTTCCCACTTCGTTGTATGATATTTCTTGGTTTTTGTAAATTCATTATGATGAAATACGTGCGCTTATATACAGTACATAATATGTCTCAATTAACTATCCCGTTTACTATAATTATTGCAGTCAAAAGGGTAGACTGCCAGCGTTGGACGATACAAAATGAGTACAAAGCAATCAACTAGTTAACACGAACTCGTTACAAGTTTATTGGACATTAGAATTCTGCATTTTCAAGGACAGATGGATAAGGTGCTAGTTATGAACTTGCTAACTTGGAACAATATCAAGAACTATATCATACGACGTTACTAACGTGAGTCCGTTTTCCTTTTTGCAGGGCAGCAAAGAGTAAACGTAGTAGAAGAAGAGGGACAAGTCCTTAGTAAGCTGAATCCGCAAAACGTTTGGTGGCCCGTGGATCTGACTCCAAGATCGTACGAATGACTGTTATCACCTATTCCCGTATATAATCGTCGACTAAAATCGCGTTAGTCAATAACGGAACTAAATAAGTCGAATAACGAGAATTGACTTGAAAATACATATATTTCGTATATGACGGTAATGAAACAGAGCAGAACAAAATGACACGCAGGGAGGATGGCTGGGAAGCCAACTCCCTTTTAGCCAAGCATTACTCAATATTTATAGTCAGACAAAAATAAGCTACAGACATGTGATGAATGGGATGGGAAGTGTACACACATATGCGCTCATATAAAAACAATGAAGACTGGTAAGTGAATAACTAACAAGGTCAACATATGACTCAAGTAGAATGAATAGATTGATTTGTCCGAATACTAGAATAAGGTATATGGCTTAAAATAATAACTGACACTACAAACGTCCTCGTATTGCTTACTAAAGGAATTTATTTGCTGTTATCCATTTTCTTAAGCATCTATGGGCTGATAAGATCTTGAGTGAATATTTTCTCTTTGATAGATAATAATAATAATCATGTGTCTGTAAGAATGTGATTAGTTGCTGTATGAAATGTCTCAACATCACCTTTCACATGATAATTAACCGAAATTTCTGTTTGGTGGGAGGTGTGATAAGACACTAACTGAAATAACGTCGAAAACCAGAATAAAGGATATTATTGACGTGCAGGATTTGATTATATTGGTGGATTTTACAAGTTGTTTCAGCAACCAATTTTAGTTCTTAAACCATTAGAAACTAACAAGTTAATTCGACCTAGTATGAGAATCTATTCTAGCATATTGTTATAAATTCTCTTATTATTATCCAGCTACACTTGATGCTCAGTATACTTGAACACTACTTCACTCAACAAGTCCCTAAATCACAACACGGTTTAACAGAAACGTAACTGTATTCCAAATAACAAGCTCCGATGGAAATAGGAGTCACCATAAGAAAAACGTTGGTAGATGTATGATTTTTTATATAAGAAGTTTCAAGAGTGTTCACTAAGTGTCCTCTGGCGTTGATTCATTAGAAAGTAGTCAATCAGAGTGCTACAACACAATCGTACACAGAACATGCTTTAATCCAACCCATATCCCGATAACACTTTATCTTTGAGCAGATTTGTGGGTTCTGATTTCAGAGTCAACTTCCAAAATCTTAACTTCTTATATGACTGAGTCTCGAAGTGTTTCTTCGTAGATTGCTTGACCAACACTATAAGAGCAAAGCATTTATTAACAAGACAGATATAACAAGAAGTCAACGGATGGTTAAGTCAATAAGTCATGTGAATAACTGTTTAATTACTGAGTAGTGACAAATGTCATGTTCGTTTAATTCATAATACGATTGATCAAGTCCAATCGATTTAATTGTAACTTGGTCACTCCTCTACATAACATTTAGTGGCCCGTGATCTGACCCCTATTATATCGTATGGTTGATTGGTAGTATAGAGTTCATTATTTCATTCGGGACCTAAAAATCTTTAGATCCTAAAGTTATGAATTGACCCACTGATGTCTCGAAGTTGTGAATCACCGGAAGCAGACCACCCATACGATGATACCGTGAATTGTTATTTAGACATCATAATTCTTCATAGGAACATTGAATAAGTTAGTTATTGTGGATCAGTGCTTTATTAGTTAGTAGAGTTTAATGTTTGAGGTTACAGATGCTGAGTTCAAGGTGAAGATGTGAACATCAATATTGACAAATCCCTCTGAACATTAAACTTATCCTTCCCAGACTGTTTTGTTAGTCATTATTCAAAATGGTGTATTAATATAATCGTTGAACTAAAGATTTTTTGGTGTGTGCTACTTATGTCGAAATAAGTAACATACAACGCCTATGAGTAACGGAATGCCTGGCAGCAGAATTTTGAAAAGATCGAGGCGGAAAAAGCAAGAACAGAAAGCAATTGGTGTGGAAGTGCAGGAACAATGAGGTCTGAAACAAATAATGAACATTTTGCGAATGGATTATTCACTGTATGGTTATCAGATTATAGTAAGAGATTCTGTTATTTGTGATCAAATACATTCGATTATCTCCACTTGTGTTCTCGGGACAGTAGTGTAAAGTAGCTATGTTTTGTTGATCAGCATCTGGGTATTGATGAAACAAACATCAAGTTTCACTTGATAATCTATAGCTTAACTCACATTAGCTTGAATATCAAGTGCTTTGCACATGAACGATACCATGAACACTGAGAATTAAGTTTCGTCTCACTTTCTTCATTTTTTTTAACTTCTACATATCATCGTTAAATATGATCAGCGTGAATGAAGTCGAAATGTACACTAATTCCAGTTCAGTAAAGCTTGTGCTCACCTCCAAAATAGAAGCTACTGACTATAAGGAAAATGAATGTAACTTTTGGAAGACTTTTATGGTGTATTTTGAGATGTTTGTAAAACATCGTACTGCAATTGACAATAGCTTGTTTAATGGGAGCTTCTTACCTTCTACACTGTATTCAGATGTCAACTCAAGGTCATTGCATTAGATACAGTTTAAGAAAAATGACCAATCTGTCAATGTTGTTCGAACTTGCTGGTCATAGGTACTCTCTACCGAAAATCTTGTCTTGTTTGCTTACATCAGTTAGGACGATAGGTAACTAACTTAACATTTCCAAATCTCTCAATGAATTTAAGGAGTTAACTTTGGGCTATCCACTGATCTGATTGTGACCCGATTACTTCATGAGGAGTGTTGTACTCTGATATACGAACAATTGTTAGATTTACGACTCCAATCCAAACAGCTGAATAGATCAAATAGATTTGACCATCAAATAGGAATTTATTGAATTTAATCATAAACCTAAAAACATATTGTTTATTATCATAATCATACAAACAAGTTCAATTCAATATTTAAGGGTTTCACAGTACAATAACAGAGAAACAACTGCAAAACATGCTTCATTAGAATAAAGATAAATAGAAACCACATAAAAGTTGAATAATATTTACAATAAACATTTATAAGCAGCTAAATAATTGTGAGTTCTCTTATGACCGAAAAAAACGAAAATGTTTCCATGCAGTCATATCAATAGGGTGTCTTTGAAACACCATACTTAGCAATACCATCAATATTATAATGCCTAATCATCATTCATTTTGATTTAGTTCTAGATTTTTCTCTGTAACATGAATGAAATCAATGTGACTATGTATTTCAATAGATTCCTGTAGAATGTAATAGAATCTTTCATTTATTTTTCTAACAAAAATAAACCACACTTCATATTGAATCAATCGAATCTATGAGTAAATATGTTCTGATCAAGTACAATTAATAGAAGTAGTTCATCATAATCATATTTTATACTTTTAAAGTGTACAATAAAAAAGTGAATGATCATTATCATTCACATTCAATATTGAACAGTTATCATCACACAAAGGTATCAGTTTATGGTGGATGTTTAATGTTACCACCTTACATGTAATGATTTTCACTATTGTTCATTTCTTTCAATGATTTTAAACGTGACAATATATGTTGTGGTATTAAACGTTGTCTATTATGATTTATCAATGGTGTATATTTTGTGTTTGTTGATAATGTTTCATTATTCAATTGATTTGTATCATTTAACGTTGAGTTGATATTTATATGGGATTGTTTTAAATGGGAACATTTTGTTCTATCCGATATGGTATTAAATTGAAGTCCTAAATTAGTGGATGGTAAAAGTGTACGATATGATTTTTGATGACTACTGGTATTGTTAGATATTCCATTGGATAGAAATTTGGTTCGAATGACGTGATTTACCTAATGATTAAACAGATGACAACATTATAAGATTATGTATTAAACAGATCTTTAACAAACACTTAAAGTGAGGAAGAACAAAGATTGATGCAGAATAATAAATGGATTCATTTTATTTTGTTAGGTTCTCATCAGCTGCTTACAACATCATTACAGATATTGACATACTTATACATAAGAGGGTGATTAAAGATGAGTAAATAATCATGATGAAGCGAAGGGGTTATTGTTACCAGGGTAACAATAACCTCCTGTTTTCATTCATTTATTTCTATTTATTTATTTATTGCATCATTATTTCAACTGTTTCTGAAGTTTAACTAGCGTCATACATAACTGATTGATTTCAATTCATATTTTTTTTATTACCATTAATGTATCTTCATAAGTTCTAATCACTATTTCAATGTTCCGGAACTTTCCATCGAAAACTTAATCTATTCGAGACAAAAATTTTATGATTTCATTAACTCTTTTGAGATCTTCGCCACACCATGATACATACATTCAGCCAAAATCACCCTGTTGTAGGACAGAGTAGGCTGGATAATGCTGGTCGGTGGCCTATGCTCGATTAAGAGTAACAGGCGTAAGTAAGTAAGTAATCACCCTCTTGTGTATAAGTATGTCAATATCTGTAGTAATGTTGAATTTTATATATTCTACCTTGTAAGTAGCTGATGAGAACCGAACGAAATAAAATAAATTCATATTATTCTGCACCAATCTTTGTTGTTGCTCCCTTCAAGATAATAAAGGGAACTATGTGTATGAAACAAACACTTGCGTGGTTTAATCAGAAATAAAGTGGGGGTGAGGGAGGGGTTAAGTTTCGAAATATCGTTGTTACTTGACTCACTTGCACTAATAAATAGATGTTAATTAGTAAACATTAACATTTGGTCATATTTTATATTATTAAAATTTTATTTTCAAAAGTAAACAAGCGATAAATGATTCAGCAATACTACTTAAATGGTTTTCAGCGTTGAAATATACTTGGTCGTAGATACTTTCTTGTATAAAGTTGTGATATAGTACAATCCTTCTTCCATGAAATGCATTGACTAACAGAAAATGAATGTTTTTATTGTATTTAAACATCAACCACAAGGAATGACAAATTTTACTGGTCACTGGTTATATTTTATTCCACAACCTTATAGATACATAGGATATGGTCCGATTGATGACAGTCCTGAACTTTAACTATGAGAAATTATGAACCATTAGAAATAACTGTGTACATATTGAGAAATTAAGTGGCTATCCGGAATCCTTAATTAAGTAGATAACTCATAAACATTTGAGGGAAAAGTATCAGGTTCACGTTCTAGTGTGAATATTAACAATATGATGCAGACACATCAATTTGACGAGTCCTAGCTATGGTGGAATCCCAGTCATGAATTCCACTACTAGATACACATAAAATATACTAAGAATGGTGACATGAAGCTGCATCAAGTTCATTCGCTTAAGATCTATATCTGGTAACAGTAGTTATTTAGTTTTGTTCGTGAATCTCAACAACGAGAAATTACAAACCATCACTACTACGTTATAGATACAAACTGAAGTAATCAAGATTTGAAGTAACTCATTGTGTAATTGGACAGCAATGAAGAGAATTCAGTGGAGAAAATTTTACTTTCGACAAAATTATTTACTTAAGCTGTGCATCTATATGCACAGTTGTATGATAAAATATGTGTCTACAGAAGAATAGGAAAGATGGCATCATAAAGTGGTCCGAGGCCTCAATTATCCAATGAGATTACGAATAATCAGGGGGATAAAGAAGGATAGAAGAATGAAAATAACTAACGAGTCGAAATCATGATAGGTAGTTGTCCACTTGACAGACAGTGAGGAAGACGAAAAACAACCAACAGCTTGATCATAATCTCGATACATTCTGACCGTCGGATATGTTCTTTTTAAATATAAAATTAGCCTAATTAGGGATAATGTCTTGATATATCAAAATAAATAGTACCGTCCCAATACCGTATCGGGGTGAGTCAGGATAAAGACTTATTAGATAGTGGATCTTTAACTTAAGATTGCATCGATTCATCGTTGGTACCATTCCGGTTTAACTCTTCCAGATTGAGATTATTAGAGGAGCCACATAATTAAGTTAATTATATCGAATACGGTCTAAAATGACACAATTAATATCAAATAAAAGTCAGACGAACTCATGTAAGTGATGATAAGTTTTAGAATATAATTAATACTTAAATTCACTCACTTGACTATCACTTGTGCTTAACTGTATCTTTGAATTCTTTGAAGCCTCTGTGGCAGTGTCTAATATGTTAGAGGCTGTCGACATATATTTTACAGATGATTTCCTCAAATCACTGTGCTGATCATGAATTCCATTGAGATTCGGTTGCATACTGTCATTTCGTAAATGACTTGGATGATAAAACTGTGCCAAACTAGTAGTATGATGATTATTGATATTCGTATGCCGTTGATTATTAGTATGGATATCATTAGATGAAACACAACCAGGGGATATTGATTCATCTATCGAAGTACTCTTAGATGTTCTACGTAGCCTATAGTCTTGAAATAAATTATTTAATTCACTAGATGAATGTAATCGAACAACTGATGATGAACCAGTATTTGAACTAATTAAATATGATTTAGAATTAAGTTTAGTTGAACTGAATATATCACCAGTAGATTTGGTAGTAGTTGTAGTAGTCGTAGTACTTGTGATGTTAATGACTGGTCGATTTCGTATGATATTTCCAGTTAATAAAGGTGCAGGTAATAAAGGAGCTGAGGCAAATCGTCGATTTTGCATATCCAACTGGAAAAAGGAATTAAGACAGTTCATCACAAAAGACTGCAATATAGTGTACATAGCATTTTATGTTAAACATTAACACTGCTGAATACCTTCTGACTGAGTAGTCTAGAAGTTAAGACCGAAAATCCTAGGTTTGAGTTCCGAACACGATATTATGGATGCTCACTTCTGAGGAATCCCATACTAAAGCGAAACGGCCATCTAGTGATTCCAGGTTTTCACCAGTGGTCTAGCTTAAATCGACACATGAATTCAACTATTTATTATTATTATAATTATCATCGTTCAAAAGTGGGAAAGTTCAAATTTCATTGAATGGATAAACCAATATCCATAAAAAGTAGAAGAATTAGAGTCTCTGTGTGCGTAGGAAGCATATTCAGTATCACTTTCCCTAGAGTTCCTAGAGTTCACCTCAATTATACAATGATACAGTTAGACTAATGCACCTACCAATATACATATTTTTATAACTTGCGTTCAACTGATTGTTTCGTATATTTATTTATTTAGTAGTCATCCTGTTTTATTGCCTAGGTCTCAAAATCCTGAATGAGATCGCTTTGTTTGCTGATGGATATGCAATACTAAGGAGTCCTACATTGGAACGAAACAGTTAGACAGTGATTACTAGTTTTGCTAGTTTTTTGAAAAAGTCAATCTATGATATTCAATTTCAAACTCAATATTCTTTAATAACAACCATAATATCGTTTCTCTTAACACACCTGAATGTATCAAAGGCACATAGTGTTTACTGACCTATTATGTCTAGTTGATAACGAAGTGTTATTATCAGAAAAGAGTTTTGTGGAGATTTAAATGATTCGATAGTTGAATCCATGTGTCAATTGAAGCTAGACCACCATGAAAAACCTGGAAGCATTGAACGGATGTTTCGTCCTATTGTTGGATTCCTCAGCAGTGAGGATCCATGATCACTCGTCGCGAGATTTATATTTCAGTCAAAATTCACATTATTATAATCTACATACAATCTACATAGATATATACCTCATTAATCTTATTCTCAGATATACTTTTATAATTTCGTTCTTCATTTAAATTAGTTGTTGTTTGAATTTGACATGGTGTTAATTGTCCACTGCTTAATGAACTACTATTATTCAAGGTATTTGAATGATTTAATAAATTATTTGTTGATTTACTAAAATTATATTTATGACTTTTATTCATGGTAACAAACTTCGATTTATTCTGTTCAATGTTATCATTTGCATTCAACCATTTATGTGATGATGACATTGTTGTTGTTGTTGTTGATGATGATGATTTTGATTTAATCGGTGTAGGACTTTGACATTTTGGCCAGTCTGATGATGATGATAATGATGATGACGATGTTAATGATGATGTTATCACTGTTGATGAAGATGGATAATTAGTTTTGAGTAAATGATTCTAAATAAAACATGGAAAGAAATGTACAAAAAATTAGGATGATAGCATTATGGTTTCCATCAGTAACTGATCTTAATTAGCAAATTATCAAAAATCAGAAATTAATAGAGATCTGTTTCATCTCATAACAGAACATTTCGGAAATATGCATCCACAATCTGATGTGTGATATAGAAAGTAAATGTGACTAGTCTCAGAATGTAAATAAAAAAGATACAAATTACTGACTGAAAATGTAATTTCCTTTCCTTGTATTGATTTAACCTGTGGACCCACTAAGTGTAGACTGCTTGTAATTGTGTGTGATAAAGTATTGTCTAGAATTACTGTGGTTCTCTATTCTTAATCGTAAATTACGTATCTCATATAATATGATCTACTTTATGTATAGCATTTCAATTAGGCATTCAACCTAGACGTTATATAAACTTGATCACATAGACCAACCTTATTATGATATTATTGTATTAGCGTAGTATACCGCTAAGAGTGAAAAATATGTTAAATTAACAGTTACAACACACCCTACCACAAATATAACCTAAGACACTAATCTATAACTACAAGTGACAGACCTGACTTAAAACTTAATAATCTTCACTCCACTCATCTCTCAGTCAAACTAAAATCGTATAACTACTGGTGACAAACTCTGGGGTAAATTCCTAAATCGTTAGTATGCAGTCATGACTGATGGAAATAGACCATATCAGGATCGAAGAAGTTGTTCACTTACAAAACCACTGAACAGTGTACTTTAGCCTGTAGAGATCATTTGATTTTTAATTAATGTTTAGAAGTATACACACATTGATCAAGAAATCTGATATTCAACTCTAGGTTAGTTAGTGCCGATGGACTATTGACAAGTTATACACTGGGAGAAAACAGTCATTCAATGTCCTCTAATTTTCAATGTTCTTTAGCAGATATCGATCTGCATCGAAGATCATTTTCAAATTAAGTTTCACCTTAGCAAGTATCTTAAGTATAATATAAAAATTATCAAATCACTCTTTCATAAATGTGATAATTCTTCAAAACTTACCAGTCTATTATTGATTGAGATCAATGTTTTTCCAAATGGATTCTCAAATTGTTGATCAGATTTATCTAAGAAACTTTCCGGTTTTTTCATTTCAACCAATGAGTTATTCATGGTACAGTTGATGTTTACTTATGAGAATTGATAAAAAGAGGAAAAATGAATATTAAAAAAATATTTTATTTCCGAAAAAAGAGAAAACATTATTCACTAGTGATTGGGTAAGACTTTAATTTATGGACGAGCCAATCAGAAGCGTTTTTGACATTTCAAGGTTACGGCGCCAACTTCAGTGCTTAATGCTAACGTACAATTGATTCAGAGGGAATTTTGTACAAAACGTGATAATTGAGCGGTCATAACAAATAAAACGCCAAGACTATAATTTGTGGAGGAATCAATGAGGTATAAGATTATAGATCACGGATTTTAACGCAAAAGCCTTTCTTCCATTTGGCTAAATGAATTTCTGGCATTATAACTGATGTCAGTTCGTGATGAAAACCCCATATATAATTCCTAACTAAGGTAAATTACGATAATTATTGCGAACTGGATAATAAAAGCACCAGTCACACCAGCTACAGCCAGGTACTACAATATATACGGATGATTGGAGAGCGTATAGGCTTGGTTATGTGCATCGTGTCGTTATCCACAAGTTGAATTTTGTGCACTGAACAACCGGAGTGTGCATAAATAATACTGAAGCTATGTGGTCGAGGTTGAAAGAGTTGTTAAGACGTTATCATGACTCCAGAGGCCGACTATTCTGTACCCATATGGATGATCTCCTCTACTGCACGTATTACGATTTTAGAACCTGTGAACCACTTTCTAACCTTGACAAGTTTTTGAACTACGTATAAGAAGTGTATCCACTTTATTTCCTTCATTTTGTATAACATCTTTTTATTCTATACTGACTGTTTGCTGATTGACTAATGTCTGTCAAGGTCACTTAGGATTCGTTCAAATGTCGCCCATAAATTAGAGTCTCGCTAGTGATTGATATCAGTTGAAGTCATATTAAATGACAACTGGCACTGAATAGATATTTTGTCATCAGTGAATGACCATATCACAGCTACGGATTAAACGCAGAAACTTCATTTCTAATTATGACCATTTAATTAATAGACAAATGATTTGGCACCTAATAGTAAACATTATTGACTTGGATCAAATTTTCCATTGTCACTATGGATATATTCATCAATACCTTCTTGAATAGAGTAATAAAGAGATTTCCACAATTTAAATAACCAACAAGCTCAAATAGTATGACACTACTAAACAGTTATATCTAGAATAACTGTAAATCATAATTGTCAACAGATTTTATCTCAATAAATTGGGCTTTCACAAGCACACACCACACCAGTACAATAAGTAATAGCCATGAACATAAAAAAAAACATGTTAAATTACATTGTTCACTTGAATTACAGTTCACTGTTGAATTGCTTACTGACTGTTGTTGATATTGATAACTGCTATAGGAGTGACTCAATGATTCATTAGGTTGTATCAGATTAGTATTCAATTGATCGAATTTATTTTTAATTATGGATGTTGACAATGATGATGATGATGATGAGGATGGTAAATTAAAGGAAGAAAATGATTTTCTGAATGAATTATTATTATTGATTCTACTAATTGAACTGGATCCATTCAACTTGCATGTGTCATGTGTACAATTAGTACTATTTGTATCATTATTCATTGTTTGTGGATCCAATTGATCATTATATGGTTGACTAATTCCAGAATTTAAATTATTTTGAATAGATCCATTTAGTTTCTGTAAAATAATACAAGAAAATAATCAAGGAATAATTTGATTATCAATACTGAATCTGTCAGGAAGCAATTTCGTGTGAATAGTAAAACAAAAATATTTCAAATCTGGCTGAAGATCATCTCAACGTTGTCAACGTTCAATAAGTGTACCGATTCCATTTATTTTTTGGTCATTTCCCATTTATTTATCTCATATTCCACCATTTTTCAGCTTCCACTATTTTCTCAATGCATTAATGTTTGTTTGTTTTGTTTATCTTTGTTTAAATTACAATAGTTCGTCTACCAACGAAGGGACAGGTTTACTGCGTAGCAGTTTGTTCCGTCCTACTTTATGGCTGTGAAACATGGCCGGTAAGAGTAGAGTATATTCGTAGGCTACTAGTATTCGACCATAGATATCTTCGAAACATTCCTCGTATATCCTGTGACCACCGAGTAATTAATGCAGTTGTTAGGAAACGGGTTCTAGGTAAGGATGGCAAATCAATTGATGAAGTAATGAAAATTCATCAGTTGAGATGACTTGGTCACGTGTTACCTATGCTCAACCACCGACTGCCTCGACGTGCGATGTCTCCTGATGTAGGAGTAGGTTGGAAGAAAGCTAGGGGCGTCCAGACCAAAACGTGTCATAAATCCATGAAGTCACTGACAAGTGGACTGAGCCATGTTGTTAGGTGTAGACTACCTAGTTGGGATCCGCGAGACGATAGCAACCGATGCTTAGAGACCTTGGATGACATGGCTCGAAATCGTTTGCAATGGCTGAGGCTTATCCACTATTTGTGTTCTCCCAAAAATTAATCTTCTATATTCTTCATGTCCTTTTCTTTCACTTTCCAAATTCATTCTACTAGATTATACTCCCTGAATAACCTCTTCAAACCGTAATCTTTCCGATTACTGTCTATGTGTTTATTACATCTACCACACTAAGTTTTGAATCGGCAGATATACCTCTGTGTTAATTTGGTATGGCAACTCGAACTGATGTATGTACGTACGAAGTTCTACGTTGTTGACTGACTGAATGACTGACTGACTGACTATTTACCTCACATTCCACCATTTTCTTCAGTTTCTAGTATTTTCTAAATGTTTTTATGTTTTTTATGCTTTTCTTCGTTCGTGTTTCATATACAGATACATCCTACTTGTTCTAACCATAACTTTTAACGGAATAACTAGACAGTATCATATGAAATTACATAAGAATGATGACAGTGATCAGGTAAAACAAATTTTACAGTTGTAGGTTTGAGTAAACTGTCATTATAATAAAAAAAAGATGTGAAAAACGTACTTGTTTACTACGTAAATTACTTGGTGTATTACATCGTTCGTATATATTTCCATTACTATGACTGAATGTTTTATTATCAGCTTCATTGACATGATAACAATCACTTGTAGAAATGCATATTCTTGATTCCTTATTAAGAATTGAAGTGTTGAGATGATTACTAGAAGATTTTTGATCGAATGACGACTTGGCCATGTCAGATGGTTTTACCATTACTGTATGTGTACTGTTGATATTTTCATGTTCACATGAGGAATCATTATAATTTTGCCCACTTGAAAAATAAAAAAAAGACGTTCAATTGTGTTATGTAATCAGTAAATAAATTTCGATTGATGTATTAAAACAAAATTGATATAAAGAAAATATTTGATGTCAACCATATTTGATCTAATGACCTAACCCTCGTATCCAGTACACACGAAAAAAAATGCAGATAAAGACAGCCGGTGTAGCGGCAGTCTCTACATCAGTAGGCCTCAAGATACACAAGGGGAAAACCAAGGTCCGCAAATTCAAAACGGCGAATAGCAGTCCAATCACTCTTGATGGCAAAACTCTGAAAAATGTAGAATCCTTCACATACCTGGGAAGCATCACCGATGAACAAGGAGGTTCAGATGCAAACGTAAAGGCAAGGACTGGCAAAGCAAGGGCCTCATTCCTACAATTGAAGAACTCAAAACAACTGTCTGTCAGAGGCCTATGCTCCTTCACGAAGAGTAACAGGCATAAGTAAAGTAAGTAATATTTGATCTAAAGTTATGTGAGCTTTTACTTATAATTTGAAACAATCTTAACCTGTTAATAAACCAATGGAAGCACTAAATTCAAACATACACCACATTCTATTAAGGAGGATCTGAAAGGAAGAACAATTGCTGATGGACTAGAAAGAAGGACACGTCATCTACATACCAAAGTAAGTAAGTAAGTAATCCGTTCACTAATAATTCATCTCTTCAAAGGGATATTGCCTTCCGTAATGTAGGCGTCAGTCAATCCATAAATTAAGTATATAAAATAATGGCTTTCTAAGTCTTTAGATTAACTATCGTATAATAAGGTAAGTACCGCTATTTTGATACAAACTACAGTCATTCTTAAATAATAAACTAGAGGAAAGTCAAATTTCATTGGATATTAAAGTTGACATGGTGGAGAACTGATTAAAATTACGCAAAATTTTCAACGTTTATGGTTTGATCAATTACTTTTGGCATTTTCAACAACCCAACTAGGAATCATATATCATTATTTATAGGGTATTTATGGGGTACTCTGTAATATGGAGTCCAAATCAATGTGTTTCATATATAAATCAAAAATTAATATTTCAATTTGACCACGAAATTTTCACCAGCAAAGTTGTTCATATTACATTAGTAACAAGAAATTTATGTGTGTGTTTGTACTTTCTTGTTGTTTGGTTTTGAGGACTGCAATTGATCAGTCTCTAAAGTTGAATGTATGTCCTGAGTGAGTTACCTAAACACGGTCATTTGGTCACATATTCAAAGGAAGTTGGGCCAAAGCTAAAAGCAGAATTCATGATACGAGTTTGGTCATAATCGAAGATCAATACTAGGATTCACGTTTGTCTAGTTGATGAATCTCAAGTGAGATGAAACGCAAGTCGTGGTTAACACTACTATTCATCAATTGACTTCCCAAGATTTCTGCTGTACAAGTTATGCTACTTAAATAAAAATTAGGTAGTACAATTTACAAGACAAAACATAAAGAAATTACCCAACGCATGACAATTCTTCATTGTTCACATTTGTCATAGATTCTGTATGAGAACAAGGTCTAACCACAGATAATGAAGAGCTGGATTTAACTGTATATGTAGCCAAATCAGATATAGGTCTCATATTTTCAGGGTTCCAAACATTTAAATGAGAATTTTTATGACATTCTTGATCAGGAGTGGTACGATTTACCGGTTGAATGAATGATTTATGGTTAACATTCATAGTTGAAGGTGTTTGATTACGTTCTAACTGTCTTCCATCTTCTAAATGATTATTTCTCAGTTCAGAACATGTGATTTTATCCACAGCTATTTGATTTCTAACAGTCAGTTCACAATCACTCTTCTCTGTTTGTGTTGTATTCGGAATTGCATTTTGTAATTGATCCATCGCCTTAGTTCGATTATGTCTGCGTAGTTTCTTTGAGTTAATTATCTGTGTAATTATTTAATTTATTTCGCAAATTAATAAGACGTTGATTTGATTAAAGAATAAAGTAAGGTAAATGAAATCAAAGCACTGGTAATGGAGATTATTGTGGCTATTTACAGTGAATCATTGACCTGTGTAAGTTTATTCCCATTTTGGATTCAGCGATAGAAATGAATTACGTTTGAATGTGCAAGTCAACAGTGAAAGATAAACTCGGTACTTATTATTCAAATGTTAAAGTGCTCAGATGCAACAATCACGAGAAATCTTAAACTTATGATTTATCACAAATATCATAACCGTTAAACAAACTGATGAGAATAATGACTGTCTACTCGACTAGATATTTCTTCAGTATTGATTGAGATCATGAACCTTTTGATGTTAGACCACCATTGAAAACCTGGAAACTCTGAACAGCAGTTTCATCCTATTGTGGGACCCTTCAGCAGTGCGCATCCACGATCCCGCCCGCGGAATTCGAACCCAGGACTTTCAGTCTCGCGCGCGAACGCCTAATCTACGCTTAACCTTCAGTAGACGGAGTGATGAGAAATGGGCTCAAGCCTAAATGAGATCACCATCATTGAAATAAAAGTATTTCAAGCGACTGATTTCCAAAGTGAGTTAAACATGCACCGTACTTTCCAAGATTTAAAATCTAATCAATTAATAAATTTGAACAAATTGAAGGATGTATTCAAAGAGCGTTTTTATTAATGGACTTCTATTATATTCAAACTTGAATACGATCATCTAGGAAATGCAAATACATACACTCATTAGTACTGTTTCATATAATTTCAAAATAAAGTTGAGTACAGGAAAAAAATAACTTATTTCTATGCCTCATCTACATTTCCGGCTTATCACAAACATTCAGTAATTTGTTCATCTATAACTAATTCCGATATTCAAGTTTGAGGTCTTTTTGTAACTCATTAGTTGAAAGTCAGTAAATTGTGTGATCAATAAGCTATGGTAACACAAACTGTCCTTTACTCTTTGAATCTTTTAAAGTTCAGGCAAACGATGCCATTTCATCGTGTAAATTCATGATAAACAATATAGTAAACTGTAAAGATATTTCAAGTGATTATCACAATAGTAGAGTTTAATTTATCAATACAGATTTGTAGTAGACGCTACTCACAAGATGGTTTGTAAGTAGTGTGTAGCGTGTAAATGACGCCATAGTTACTATAGTTGTCAGATAAACTGAATAACTTCAGTGCATTGAAATTATAATGTTGACTATACACTTAGAGATTAGACGAGAATCCAGTTCAAATATCAGGACACACTGAAACATGCACTTGAAGGACTGAAACCGATGTATAATCTATTATCAGAAGGGGTTTTGTGGAGATTGTAATAATTTCAGCAGTTGAGACCATGAATCAATTCAAGCTAGACCACTATGGAAAACCTGGAAGCATTGGACGGCAGTTTCGTCTTATTGTAGGACTGCTCAGCAGTGCGCATCCACGACCCTGCCTTGCGAGTCCTTCCTGCTTATCATTGTGTTTTACAACTATTATCAATCCAATTTGTTTTATTTCCTGGTTACTTTCAAATTAAGCAATTGAACTAAAAGGTTTTCTAATATGAAACTATCATTATGTTTCTTAATGTGTTTTTTATTATCTATTTTTACCTGATATAAACGATTACGATATTCAGTTACAGTTAATTGAATATTATCATCTAATGGTGGAACCACATTATGTGTTTTACTCATGATTTCTTCTGGATTAAAAAATCTGTTCAATATTGAAAAGAAATGAAAACAATAATAATAATATTATATAATGATAGTGATAATGATGTAATTAAAAGAGATAAATAGTATCTAAGGAAAAGTTGAAATGGATCATTTTCATAAAACTTCAAACTCAATATTAGTCTATAGTTTACATTAAGAGCTGTGTTTGTGTTGTATGCTACTGATGTCGATAAACATAAGCGGTATGTCACACCAATTAAAAATGGGATGCCATATAGCAGAAAGTTGAGAAGATCAAATTGAATAGAACAAGAATGTAGGAAAAAGGAATTTTATAAGAGACGATTGATGAATGATGTGAAAATGAAGTACTTATTGTATGGTTTTCATATTTTAGGAAGTTATGTTGTAATTTATATTCAACAATAAATTGGTTGTCTACGTTTTAGTTCTCATTCATAAGTTTAGTTATCAACGATTTTATCAACGATTCTTATCTCAGTTCTAGGAAACTTGAAGTTTACTGACTACATTATGTCAACAGAACTTTGTGTACTACATCTTGAGGTTAGTCACTGTTAATCATGTGATGGTTAGTTACTTACACAACTTTTCTAATCTCACACTAATGATCAAATGTACATTAATGACTGACGTCGATGTGGATCCTCAGAAATCACATAATACATATGTAAAATACGAAAACAATACATTAAATACACCATTTGCTTATCTTCCTTGAATTGTTCTTTAAAATCTCCATTGTTCTTTTACTTTTGATTGCTTTCTGCTTTACTTTCTCTATTCAGTTTCTTATTCTCTCCGTAAGGATTCTACTTTCCATGAAGTTTTGTTCTCTGAGCTGGATAGTTTGGTCGTGGAGCTCTCATCGTTCTTCTGAACGACATCATCAGCACAAACTTCAGATAAATCTGAAGTGTTCGAATTTCTCCATATGCGTTTCACAGCTTTCTTCTGTACACCTTGATGTTGATTGGTTCTTATTGACCTTAAATTTGTCATTGTTTACTTCGTTGTTTTGGTTGTGCCTCCGATTGGTTTGATTTTGGTTCCTACATTTGTGCATAATTTTCCTGATTTGTTGATAAATTGGATCGATTCCAGTGTGCTTGTTGATTGCTAATTGACCTAAGTACCAGGCTTCTAAACACTCTCTGTCCAAGATTTCCACATTTTTCCAATCGAATGAGTGTCCGCAGTTCTCCACGTGTATTGATATAAGTGAGGAAGTATCATGGCGTTTGACGACCAAACCATCCAGCTCAGAGAACAAAACTCCATCAAAATCAACCACCTGAGCTACAAATCTTCCCTACCATTCTACTTTCCATTACAGATATATACTACTTATATCTGTCGGTAAAAGTAGTACACATCACACTATCATCATAGAGAATTTAAAATGAACTATTTATTAATTAAAGGAGAATATCATATTCATTGAATTACTTTCGAACATATGGATGTTTAAGTGCAGTTAAAGCATCAATTCGTTTATGTGGATTAAAATTAATCATTTGATTAAGTAAATCCATTACAGTTTTATTAGCATTTTTTAATATTTGATCTAATGGACGACGTCTAAAATTGAAAAGTGAACAAAAATTTTTATAAAGATTAAAATATCAATCATTGGAAACAATTGAAACTGTGAGGATTTAAACTTTAACTCATTACACAAGCAAGTGGCTATCAGCACACAGTAGCTAAGTGGATAATACGATGACGTTTAAAATGAACAGTACCGAGTTCGAGTTCCAGAGTGAACATCAATTCTGGGATACAGGTACATCCAGTTGATGAGTTTCAAATAAGACAAGACGCGCGTCGTGGATCTCACTGCTATCCACCATTTATATTTGCTTATAATGCTTGTGACTTATAGCAATGTTAAGACAATACGTACAGGATGTATCTAACTGAATAAAAGACTGGTCAATTGCTGTCCTAAACATCAATGGGTAGATTCAAGTGAATTATTTTCTTTAAAAAATTATCTTTTAATTGTAAATATTCGATTTATGGTACTTTGGTTCTGTTGTTGTTGTTGTTAGAAGTTTTCATTTCAATTATTAAGTATTAGTGTACCTGTTATTTGATAGCACGGACAGAACAACACTATGAAAGGTTATTCGATACTACGGTGTGCCTCAGAAGATATTCAATATCAAACAGAATTCCTATGATGGATGAAATTGCAAAATCGTGCATGGAGGACAGTTGACAGACTCGTTCGAAGTAAAGACCGGTGTCAGGCAAGGTTGCTTACTCTCATCCTTTCTCCATCATCCAGAAGATACAAGTGTTTATTAACAGTTGTCTATGCAAAATACTTCGGATCCGTTGGTCGGACACTATTAGCAACAACGAACTGTGGAAAAGAACAAACCAGATTCCAGAGGAGGAAGAAATAAGGAAGAAGCGTTGGAAGTGGATAGGACACACATTGAAGAAATCACCCATCTACGTCACAAGGCAAGCCCTCAAATGGAATCCTCAAGGCCAAAGGAGCAGGAGTGGAAGACCAAAGAACACATTACGCCGGGAAATGGAGATTGGCATGAGGAAAATGAACAAGAATCGGATGGAACTAGAAAAGTAGGCCTAGGACTGAGTGTGCTGGAGAATGCTGGTCGGCGGCCTATGCTTCATAAGGAGTAACAGGCGTAGTTAAGCAAAGTAAGTAAGTGTACCTGTTATGTTGTGTTTTTTGTCTCAGTCGACTACTGTTTTATATACTCCCTATATAAGTACCAAAACTAGTCATTTAGATAAGAAAACTTAGAAGGAACTAAGAAGAAAGCGTTTATTGGTTAACTGAATGAAGAATATGCACATAACTTATTCGTAAATATATATAAATGCCATTAAAAATATTAAGCAACAAATTTAACTATCAGCTTATGTTTGCTTACATAAGAAGTAAAGCTAAATCTTGACCTGTTGCGTAATTCTGTCAGCATCGTTCGTTTAGCCTATGTAAGATTGTTTCATCGTATCACCTTTTCCTTATGAAAAATATGTTTGTGCTTTTGTGTTCAACTATAGAGATTAACGTTGATGGTATTTCATTGCATTTTGTACAACTTAAACTATCGTTGCTTAATTATGAACAGATTACTAGGTTTTATACCAAGTGAGACCTAGTTATGTGCGAATCGTAACTTTTAATCTCTTATATATATACATATATAAATAGAGAGAGGGAGAGTCCGGCGAGTTTCTGAGTCAAGAAGAGAGCAGAAGATAACCAGTCAAACACAAACCAGTCAGTGCGAAGGGAATTTTACTCTTGTCAAATAATTAAATATCTTAGTGTTATATCTAGAGCTTATATTCTTAATATACCGTGTATAACTTCAACATCGAAAGCTAGAACACTCCCAAGTATCAAATGAGAAGACAGAAAATAAGTTAAAGGAATGCTATTCCAAACAGTGTCAATTATGATACGAAACTCTCAGATGTTTAAAGATTTTAGTAAGAACGAAATCATCATTAAAGTCCTCCAATCCGCATACAGGGGATTATTAACATTTGTCCAATAGGGAAGCTCCACATAGGTATTCTGGAATATTCTTCCAAAAGATAATTGGATGGAATATCCTCCGCTCTTTCTGAGCTTCTTGGAGGTTCCTTGGGTTCACCCGTGGACTCTCCCCATACTCATTCAGACTTGATGTAGATAGATAGATAGATAGATAGATAGATAGATAGATAGATAGGTAGATAGATAGATAGATAGATAGATAGATAGATAGATAGATAGATAGATAGATAGATAGATAGATAGATAGATAGATAGATAGATAGATAGATAGATAAGAAACCGTAGTAACATGAAGAATGTTCAACGATACGAGTACATCCATAACGAGGCTAATGACTAATTAAGACAGAATTAAATTTTCAAAATATAATTGGTCGATAACTATAATTAAACTAAAGAAACTCATTGAGACTACTGGCTGACAAATGTTACTTCATAAACTTACTCATGCTAAACGATGGTCTAGTAATAAAAAACTGTGAAAATCATGACTGATTTCACAGTGCTCTCTTTAAATGTTACTTTTTGTTAACACTTTTCCACAAAGTTTCATTATACTACTAATAGATATGTTGTAAATACATATGAATGATTGTTTTTCTCTAATAGAGATCTCATAATAGAATGGGTCAGAGAATCATAATCAGTGACTTATGCTCCACAGAGAGAAACAAGAGTAAGTCAGTAAGCAAGTAAACAAGTAAGTAACAGACATGTAACTGTTAGAAGATTAAAGTTTCAAGCCCATAAATCATAACTCATTCATCGTTTTACTCACTCATTGATACAACTCAACGGATATTAATTACTACTTTTAAAATATATCACTTACTTGATATGGGTTTTTTCCAAAATTGAAATGCTATATGGACTTCTAATACTTTCCATGTCTAAAAAATGATAAGAGTTTGTGAATAGTTATTGAATACGAATGAAGTTGTAACTAGATAAATTAAATATAAATTCTTTGATTGAGATCATGAACCGATTGATGCGAGACCACCATTGGAAACCTACAAGCACTGGATGGCCGTTTCGTTCTATTGTGAAACTGCTCAGCAATACCCATCCACGACCCCTCGAGAGGCTCAGTGGTCAGAAGGTTAAGCGTTCACGCGCGAGTCTGAAGGCCCTGGGTTCGAATCTCGCGAGCAGGAACGTAGATGCGCACTACTGAGGAGTCCCACAACGGGACGAAACGACTGTCTAGTGCTTCCAGATTTTAAGTGCTGGTCTAACATCAATCAGTTAACGATCTCAATCAAAAGCTTAATAGCCTCCACAACCCTACTCTGAAAATATGAATTCGTTTTTTGATCATCTAATTATAATTAATAGTTCACTTTAACATTTAATATAAAAAATAATCCAGACTATTGAATTAATAAGAATCGTTTTGGTGCGATCCACAAGGCCTTATTCATATATATATGTTTTGTAAACACTTTCTCAACCAGCAATGTGAGTGGAAAGTTTGTGAGAAAACAAGAAGGTTCTTATTGAAGTACAGGAACCATTAAGTAAATACATTGTTTCTTTTGACCAAAACAAGAGCATAAATCTTGAAATCATGACTAGAAATTTAATCAACTTCTTCCAATACCACATCTTGTTTGTAACTTCTCATCTACCACTTGATCTTCGAATGATATTTAAAGATAAGCACATGTCATATCTATACTTCCCTAGACTAAAAACTCTTCATCTTGACACTCAAAATCTCTTTTTAAGATTCAGATGCATAAGTTAAGATTAGTATACATTTCAAAGAGTTTCAATTGGTGAAACAATGGTTCAATGAAGAATTGGATACGATATTACTACTACTACTACTACTACTACTACTACTACTATTACTATTACTACTACTACTATTACTACTACTACTACTACTACTACTACTACTACTACTACTACTACTACTACTACTACTACTACTACTACTACTACTACTATATTCCATATAATTTAACCACAGTTAATCCCCTATTTGAAAGAATCTGTTTTCTTGACTGATTGATGTATAGTTATTCATTCGGACTATAAGTAACCTTGAACTAATCGGTAACTACTTACTTTAGAAATCTAATCTCTTCTTCAACTAACTACTTAACTACTACTTGACTTAATAATTAACTATTTAATAGGTATACAACTAAAATAATCTATTCGTTTTAGTACAAATGACTTACAAAAAAGAAAAAAAAAGAAATCAAATTTCCATGGAATATTAGCTAGTTTTTGTTTTTCAGCTGATCTAATGAACCGGTTTCATACTGTGATCTAAACAGTTCGAGTACTCATTTGATTGAGTTCAATTCAAGTTCAACACGATAGGGTAGCAGTATGATTACAATGAAGAGAGAGAGAGAGAGAGGAGAGTTATTTTTGTGTATTCATTCATATATAGACATTTATAGCTTATTCAAGAGTTGAGAGTAATATGCTAAAGAGATTTATTAGTAAATAATTCGATCTGACGATCATTTCACAGCATGATCTTCTAGATGTTGATGTTGTTGTTGTTGTTGTTTCTTAGTATATTCTCTTATTTTAAGGTTATGCTTTTATGTCTTCATATTATGATAAGAAAGTTAATGATACCTTATTGTAGTGAACGAGAATACACAAGTAGAGGACAATCAAATGGATTTGAATACAAAATTACAGAATCTCTTAGTAAAATCTGAGATATTTTATTCGCAAAGTGTCAATCAAATGTCTTAGACTTAATTGTTCCATCATTTTCACACTAATCATTCTCTGTTACTGTTCTCTTCTCTTCGATCTTCTTAACATTCTCCCATCAGCCATTTCACGTTCGATTGATGATACATACTACTAATATCTATTGATATCAGTAGCATACATTATATTATTTTCTAGAATTTTCTACTGATATCAAAATGATGACCTTGTGTCTGATTGGTTATTTAATTATAGTAGATGATATGATTAAACATTACTGATTAGCATTAACTGATCAAAATGTTTTATACAATGAGATTTTATATTCGATTGTTATTGTTTTCTTCAATCTTTATATTGATGTTTAGGACTGCCATTGATCAGTCTCTTATTGCATATGTGAATCCTTTTTGGAAGATCTCGATATTACTTAAATTCACAAGCTTTATAAGCAAAGATAGATGGTGACCATCAGTGGAATTCACGACTCACTTGTTGTCCTATTTGAACTCGTTGGTTGGATACACCTGAATCACCGAGTTGATGTTTGCTCTGGGACTCGAACCTAGTACCATTCGCTCCAAATTCTAACGCGTTATCCACCTATCTGCTGAGTGCTGATAGTCGATGATATTTGAAAGGAACGGTATTAGGTTTGAGTCTTAGAGTCCTAGGTATATCCATATGACGAGTTCGAAGTAGGACGAAAAGTGTGTCCTGAATTCCATTACTAGCCATCATCCATACTTATTTATTTAATTACTAAGATAGTCAAACATCTTATTCGTACACTAATCTACATACTACTTATTATTCTACATCATTTTTTTTATCTGAATCAATATAGTGTACCCTTAACCACATAACAAAAAGAATCCAATTGTTATGACCTGATGAAATACAGCTTGTTAAATAAGATTATTGCATAATTCCATCGTGATGCTATTTCAATTTCCGGAGGTCTTTATATGTTTTACACTTGCCCATATACTCTATTGATCCCGATTAATCATACATCTTGGTAACATAAGTAATGGTAGAATTTTTATGGTGATTTTCAAAAAATGACATTTTTGATGTTATGATTAAAGCTAAAAAAAAGTAATTAGACATTTCCTTTCACATTTCTATTGATAATACATGGTAAACACTTCTTGTTTACAACCTTATGATCTTTTTTCTGAACAATTCAACTTCCTCAATGTACTTAATTACGATGTCTTCATTAGAATTAGTCTATTATGTTCTTTGGGTCAATTCACGATCTGAAACTCTAACAGATCCTCTCTGGTAGTAAAGATTCCTATTGCTTTTCATCAAAAAGCAACAACAGATAATGATTCAATTGTTAGTACAGTTCAATCCGTGTGGAGTGTGAGACAGTTATCCACCGCAAACAATGGATGAGAGTCGTCCAATATCGTCGACTGATTGGCGTAAGGCAACACTAACGGATACCGGCTAAGTAGTGTAGAGTTTAAGCATTCGAGCGTGAGACTGAAACTCCTAAGTTCAATCTCTGGTTGTGGAGTCGAAGATATAAACTGCTGAACAGTTCCACGCTGGGAAAAAGAAGTGTTCCAGTACTCCCAGGTTATCACCGGTGATTTTGCTAAGGGCGTTTCGGGATTTAAACACTAACAAGACTACAATTCACTAAAATTCAAGGAGTATGGAACAACTGATTCATTTAACCATGGTAGTTTGAATAAGTAGTGCACCTCATTTCAACCTCATATTAGATCAAAACCAGAGTCTTAACAATCGCTGTAAAGTCAGATGGATATAAACTGTTGTATCAAAACACGTCAATGATACATCATTACTGAATAAATTTAAGTGTATGTGTTTACGACTACGTTTCTATTAAACAACATAAAAACACTAATATATTGATATTTATGAATATTTGTTCTAATGATCTTATTCTCAAAAGTATAATCCAAAGATATATCTATATTAAGTGAAGTGTTATTGGTATATAGTATGCAAACATTACAGCATATTTGGCGGTCCGTATAGTCTAAACGAAAGGATACCAGGCTAGCTACAGACCAAATGAGTTCTGATTTCAAAAAATAGTCATAAGCTAAATTATAAGAAAGAGTTGTCCAAATCTATGGATATGTAGAAGCATCACGTTATAATTGATTACATTAATTTTATACAGTTCGTCAGTATATATATATATATATATATATATATATATATATATATATATATATATATATATATATATATATATATATATATATATATATATATATATATATTGGTAGATTAGTAGCTAGGCCTAAACATACACAAGGTGAAAACCAAGGTCCTCATGTACAACACGGAGAACACCTACCCAATCACAGTTGCTGGCGAAACTCTGAAAGATGGGAAGAATCATCGATGAACAAGGAGGATCGAATGCAGACGTAAAGGTAAGGATTGGAAAAGCAAAGCAGCATTCCGATAATTGAAAAGCAAATGCAACTCAACACAACTTTCAATCAATATCAAAGTCACAATCTTCAATACGAACGTCAAGACAGTTCTACTGTATGCAGCTGAAACTTGGAAGGCTACTACAACCATCATCAAGAAGGTACAAGTATTTATAAATAGTTATGTACGCAAGATTGGCCGGATACCGTTAATAACAGCCTACTGTTGGAAAGAACAAACCAGCTTCCAGCTGAAGTAGAAATTAGGAAAAGACGATGGAAATGGATAGGACATACATTACGCCCTAACTTGGAATCCTGAATGGAAACGGAAAAGAGGAAGGCCAAATAACACATAACGTCGAGAAGTAGAAGCAGATATGAAAAGAATGAATAACAACTGGAAAGAGCTGAAAACGATTATCCAGGACAAGGTTGGATGTAGAGTGCTGATGGGTGGCCTATCCTCCTCCACGAGTAGTAACAGGTGTTAGTAACAACTGTCAAGGAATGGTTATAATCTATATACATTAGTAGTCAGTTATACGGTTTTTAAATAAAGATAAGGTTTCTTCTAATTTTACTGAACTACAATGAAACATATTCTAGATTAAAACGTGAATAAAAATATTAAACAATAATTAATTGTTCAATATAAAACTCTTTACCTTCTCTACTTAATTTTGGTAATCCAGCCATAATACGTCCAATTTGATCTAATGTTGATGTACCAGGAAATAATGGTGTACCAATTAACATTTCACCTAATATACAACCTAAACTCCATATATCAACACCTTTTGTATAATCATGACATGCTAATAAAATTTCAGGTGCACGATACCAACGTGTTGCTACATATTCAGTTAATGCAGGTAGTAATGTTTTACAATTGATTTTACCATTACCATTATCATATTCATATTACGACCTTTTAATGAACGTGCTAAACCAAAATCACATAATTTTACTAAACAATCAGAATCCAGTAGAACATTTGATGGCTGTAATAGATGTAATAATAGAAACAGGTAAAATATACATTAGTTATGATTATTGTAGGAAGTGATTGAAGAATGTTTCATTGTGAATGTAGAACATGAATGAAGTCTATTTAGAAATAAATCATTTGAGTTAATGTTTTACGGTTGTTTCATGATTTGCAGCAATGTACTTTATTTTTTGTCTTGTTGAACCCAATTCAAATTTGAAGGCATAATATAAATGTGTTCTACAATGATGCTTCTGTTATATCCAAGCGAAGATTAAATTACGGGTTACTTCCGACGACTATTAATGGACTAATATTCTATAAATATTCTTATTGTATAACCATTCAATAATTAGATTATGTATATTTATATTCCTCTTATTATAAGCTTTATTTTGACCTATAGATTATTATTATGCGATTTACTGTTCTTAAGTTATGTTCAGTCTATTGACTACTGCCTCCTACGCTCACAGCTACATTTGGCCAAATATTGTACAAATGTTATTTCCTATTTTATGGTGCGTTACGGTTTGTTTGGTTTGTAATATAAACCGAGTATGTCTGAAATAAATAATTCGAGTCAATTCTCACATTGGAAGCTGGTATTGGCATTCTGGACTCAAGTGGACGGGCTAGGCGGACATAGGACCAATAAGGACGCTAGGCTGCTCATACCGGTTGAACGTCATTGGTTTGGCATGGTGCGAAGATCTGTATAAGTCGTATTTTGATTAGTGGATAAATCAGGTGATAAAAGCGGACATAAAATCATAACAGCTTCTCTCAGGATAATTCGTATTTCTTGCAAAAATCCTTCATCTATCTTTGAAGACAAACAGATTAAAACTGAAATAAGTGGTCAACCTTACATTGTCTGTTAATATGTTAAACCCACACAACTTATTCTAGCTTCTTAACAGGTCAGTTTATCCATTCTTGTTTAGTCACATTTTGACCATGTCAATCTTGAGTGTTTTTATATGAGCGTTTGTGTGTACACTTCTTATCCTATTCATTAAATGCCTGTAGCTTATTTTTGTTCTGAATATAAATATCGATTAACGCTTGATTAAATTGAATTGGCTCACATGCCTTCTCCACTGCTCATCATCTCACTTCACTCTCTTCACTTCGTTTCTCATCGATCATTTGTCTGGATCGTATTTGACTTAACGCGATTTAAGTCGATACGAGGATTGACGATATTTATATTTCAATAACACTCATTCAATCATCAAACAAATTATTTGGAGTCAGATAAAGGGTCACTAAAAATGGTGAGCTAATCGACAACCTAGTCAATAACATAATCGTCCAATCTAATTGACTTCAAACTAAATTGCCAGTAAAGTACTAACCCAAATATTTCCTATAAATAAGTAACTACATAGTTTTTTTCATTTTTAATATTTTTCAGTCAGTCAGTTGACTATGAATGCAGTGGTCCTGAGTGCTGTTAGAGGTACGAGGGTGGTTATAACTTCCCGGTCGCTCACACCGTAGAAAGGTTCTTCTAGAGGTACCTGAAAAGGAATTTGGATTAGAGGTGATCTTAGTGACCTGAGAGCGCGACCGCAGTGCCCAAGGGACAACTGCTTGAGGTCGGTCACACACGACCTATTTATGGGTAATTTTTGTGTTAGCTCCGTGCTTGTTGGGACCTTACCACCGGAGACGGATATCCGTGGGATAAGGTGAGGTGTGCATTTTTAGAGTCGACCTTTTCTAACCCCACTCAACCTTGTGGGAAGGCAGCGTCGCTGTCATGCTGCTTGTCTGGAGGAAACACCTTACTGCTGTCACACCTCTGTACAGTCAGCAGTACGACTTCGCCTTCGGACCTTGGGTTTGTTGCTTTTAGTCTTACCGCTCTTCAACCGACCTGTCTGACATGGTAAGACCTTGATGAACGGTTGTTCCAGCCAGTATAGCTCGGTTGGTTCATCACGATAGTCAAGCCTGACAACCACATCAAGGTAGCAACAACGATCCGGTAATTTTTAATGTAAACCTATATCATTCGATACATTTATTGGTTGAAAATAAAAAGAAAGTCTATCGCACACACACACACACACATTCTCTCTCCCTCTTTCGACGTCCCTCTGAAATGTTTAATGTATCAGTTTGATAAATTCTAAGCAGTTTATCTCAAAGTAACTATTTGAAGATCTGTGATGAAAAAAACATTAATCTTGGGTAAACATATTCTAAAACACTGAAACTGTAAAGCTATAAATGTTTTATAACTAGTGATCGCTCAGTTGTATACAGTGTAGAGAACCTGGTATATATATGTGGATTGTGTAGTATATTCATGTATTAAGTAGAACGTATCACACAGGCATTAACTAAAGACACTGCCAGAACATAAATGGAAAAGATTTTGTAATTTTGAAGCAATTTCTGTCATATGTGTACATCATTTGTAGAAACAATACAAACGAGAGAATAGTTAAACATCACAAACCAGATTCAATTCAAGATTTTCAATATCATGTCATTAATCTCATCGTTTGTTAGATTGAGACTTATTCAGCTATGGAAAAAATAACGAATTTATGAATTTTGAGTCTTTATTCGTCCGCGGATGCGCACTTCGGAGGAGTCCCACAATAGGACGAAACGGCAGTCCAGTGCTTCCAAGTTTTCTATAATGGTCTAGCTTTAATTGACTCAACTAATAAAATAACCATGATATCTACAAAACCTCTTTTGATGTACATGACTTGTTTACTAATTTTAATGGTATACTAAGTTTCACTGAAGATAACTATATTCTTTTCATTTGAAATATACAGCTGTTCGAAAATATAAATTATCATAATTTTACATAAATTTTCAACAGTAATCGAAATCTAGATCACAAATAAATCATGAACCGATCCCATTTACACAACCACTGAAGACGTGGAATCACTGGATGACCTCTTAGTAGTGAGCATCCACCATGCCGTTTGCGAATGCTGGCTCAGTGGTCCAAAGATTGGGGTTTCATGCGTGGGACCGATGGTCCTTGGTTCAAGTCCCTCATTGGGGATAGTGATGTGTGATGCTCATATTAGAACAAAAAAGCCGTCTAGTGCTTCTAGGTACTCACTGTTGGTTTAAATTAGATCGGTTTAGGTTTTCAGTGGAATTTAATAATCTCTATAAACTCGTACTAAAAATCCAGATTAACTTACATTCCTAATGAAATTAAACAGTCTTAAATTCGAAAACAAAATATCTATCTATTGTTTACTCGTTAATGCTGATTACCCAAACGTGATATCCTTCTCCTTCAAAATAAATCCTTATCTATAAGGTTCATATTCGTTACAGATTGATCCCATTTGACAACCATTTAAAAGTGAGAATCAATGAACAGTCATTTCTTTCCACCTAAGCACACTTACGACCTCATCAGGAATCAAATCCAAAACTTTAAGCCGTCACGTCTAACCTCAAAGTATTGAACAGCAATATTTCTAACTTCAATTAATTCGTGTTATTTCACAATAACCATTCAATGTCAATCATTACAAAATGAAACTAATCGCTAATAAATATAAATGACAAATTAAAACGAACTCAAATAAAACTTATTCATCTCTCGGTAATAGGATTGTGAAGAATATAAGGTTTTTGATTGGCATCATGGATAGATTGATGTTGGGCCATCATAGAAAACCTGAAAGCACTGGACGATAGTTTCGTCCCATTAGGGGACTCCCCAGCAGTGCGCATCCACGAGCCCTCTCGCCGGATTTGAACCCGGGGCCTTCAGTCTCGCGTGAGAACGCAATATCGCGCGACCATCTTCCATTACACTGAGGCAGATACCTGTCTCTACCTGACACGGACTAGCTACACTGGCCATGGCCTCTCAGCAGAACTCCGAAAATTCCCTCACGAAGTTTTGTAAAATGTATAGAAAATAACAGAAATTTATTTTAATTTTTTTTTGATTAAACTCACCTTTAAATCTCGATGAATCACTTCCCCAGAATGTAAATATGCAGTTGCTTTAAATAATTGATACATAATATACTGTTTATGTATATCTTTCAAAATATTCCCTTTACGAATTACATTATGTAAATCTGTCTCTATTAAATTGAAATATAAAAGAGAAAATTTATATCAGAAGGGGTTTTATGGATATTATAGTAATTTTAATAGTTGAGATCATTAGTCAATTGAAGCCAGACCACCATGGAAAACCTGTAAGCGCTGGACGGCTGTTTCGTCCTATTATGGGACTCTTCATCAGTTCGCATTCACGATCTCGTCTCGCGTGATTTGAACCCAGGACCTATTGGTGGATGTGTCATTCAGTAACGTGGATTAGTTAAAGTTAGACATTAACCCCATTGTGGTTTAGAGGTTAAGCGTTCGCGCACGAGACCAATAGATCCTAGGTTTTAATCTCGTGAGTCGGAATCGTGGATGCTTACTGCCGAGGAGTCTCACAATAGGACGAAAAGGCCATCCAGTGCTTTCCGGTTTTCTATGATGGTCTAGGTTTAATTGAAACATGATTTCAACTATGAAAATCTATATGTTCAATCAATAAATTCATCTTTTACCCATGTATTCAAATACTAAGTAGATATCCTTGTCACATTCAGCTCGTATTACATTGTATAAACCAATAATATTTGGATGATTACCAAACGCTTGTAAAAATGCAATTTCACGAAATGTTCTCTATGAAAGTGAAGGAAAGAGAGGAAAAAATATAGAAGAGGAGAATGAAACAAACAAACAAAAAAAGACAAAACGATAATAGTAAATCTATTTTGTATTGTATGTTTAAATCTTACCATTGTTGTGTAATGGTTAATTTTTTCTTTATCTGACTCCAATACATAGTATCCCGTTAACTGAGTCTTTAACACAGGCTAAATCTCTTAGTTGAATTATGGATTTACTCGAGATTATTCAAAAGCCTCAACACTAATTATAGAGACAGTTTATTGGTAAAGATTAGTAAAATCCGCAAGAGTGCTGATAACAAACACATAAGGAAACAAGTGAGAGAGAGAGTGTGTGTGTGTTAAAAATCCACATATATTAATGAGTTTTAATCAATTGTGGATAAATTATCGATTGTCTGTGCATTACAACGAATGGAAGAATAGATTAGAGATTGATGTACATATACGCGTTCAGCTCAATCAGACTCACACATGAATTTACATAGTGGATTGGGTGTCTAAATTATAGTTAGTATACAAATAATAAAATAGCTGATTGTGATTATTACAGATGTTTAGGATTGCAAGTGATCAGTCTCTTATTGGCATATGTACATCCTGTTCGGATTGCCTCGATATTGCCTTAGATCATAAACATTATAAGAAAAGATGGACAGTGGCAAACAGTGGAATCTAGGACTCGTGTTTCGTCCTAATTGGAACTCGTCAGCTGGATGGTCCTTCATTCCAGAGTTCGAGTCCCGGAGTGAACATCAACTCTAGAATGCCAGCACATCCAGGTAAAGAGTGGCAAATATGGCAAAACGCGCATCCTGAATTCCATTGCTAGTCACTATCCATTTTTGCTTAAAATGAAATATTGTTTAAAATATATAAAAATAATAGTCGTATTTCACTAACTTGAGCATCTGTTTGATTACGAAATGCATCGAAATTTTTTTTCAGAGCAACAACTTCTTTTGTCTTTCGATTGATCGCTTTCCATACGATTCCATATGCCTAAAATACATTAATGAAATAAAGAGAAAATGAATCAGTAAAAAGTTATAGGATGATATGTGGATGTGATGATATAGGGAACTATTGACAACAAGATGACTCAGTAGCTCAAGAGATAATCCACTTGGCGTTTTAAGCGTTATAATCGATTTCTAGTCCCGATGTCAATATTATGAGAGTATCAAAAGAAGACAAGAAGGTCACTTTAGCTCTTGTTATCATAAAGACTATATTTGTTGGGGTGATCCAGAAAATTGCTTGCAAAAGACAAGCAAGGATCAGGAAATCCTAAGAAGCGTTTCCTCCAATCAGAGTTCACTTGGAGTTTTTGCCAAAAATATCAAGGAAGCGAATCGTCTCATGCAGAGGCTCTGATTGGTTGGCTGCTATACTGCTACTATGTTTAGTGGTATTCCAGAATCTTCTAGCAGCCCAAGGACATTTAAAATATTATAAAAACCTGTATTTTCTGTATTAAAATGAACCTTGGAGTGAACTACTTCTCGCATACTTTGAGTCTTCTCTCTCGTGTTCAGGTCGTTGTCTAGTCCTAGTTTGGGGGTTACAGAATAGCTTAGGAGACGAATATAGCGTTCAATCGACAAGACTTATCAATATTACTTGGATGGAATGATGTTAACTTGATATCCAAATCAGTATTAGCCAGTGTTGTAGTCAGTGTCGTCACCACTTATCTATTTAGGTCATGAAACATCTTTCAAATGACTGAGATATTCATTGTGAGTGAATAATAAATTATAATAAGCGTGATGTTTATCTTGTTCTGAATGTTTCGATCATAAGCAGCGAAGAATCTGGCCCATGCGTGCTTTAAACCAATTCACCATACCAAATAAGCACAGACAAAATGATAAAGGAAACTATGTGTATAAGCACAAACAGACAAAACTAATGAGACAAATTTCAGGGTTGCAGAAATGGTAACAGTGTTAATGTTAATAAAAACCATCAGACTAAAAGTACGATTCGAGAAGGAATAATGAATTAGTGAAACAAAATGTATAAGATAATTTGAAACTCAACATCTAAGGTAAGACAAAGAGTAAATAGATCTGAGCGAAACCGATCGATTCAATGCCACATATCTCCCAACTCCTTAAACAAACGATTACATTAATCTTGTCAAGATGTTTATGTATGAAAACTAATGTAGGTCAATTAACTAAAACAAGAAAATGAAATAAACAAAAGGTGTTGTAATAAATAAGAACTTTCATCTAAATTTGCTTGAATAGTTTCACAGTATATTTGGGATCCTAGTTGATGTGAGACATCAATGAGAAAGAATGTATTTGTGAAATCTCAGTGAAAGAATTTGAAGTAAATCCAACGTTTCGCCTGGCAATCTGGTTCAAGCTTTTTCAAGGAAATATACCTCCTTGGATATATTTCCTTGAAAAAGCTTGGACCAGATTGCCAGGCGAAACAAGGTGTTAATTGAAAATGGAAAAGAGAGTGATTATATAATACGGAAACAATAAAACATTGTCATAGAACCTCATGCCCTAAAATAGATTATCATGGTTAATCGTAGTTTGGAACAAATTGTTTCTGTATACACAAAGGAAGATTGAAGTTTCTAATACTCATAGGTTCAGAAAATCTAAGGTTAAACCTCGGATAATATCCATACAACCCCTTAAAATCTGTGGTTATTTGCTTAGCTAATGAGGAGTTTGCGTTTGATAGCCTTAGTGCTTGGCAATAACTGATTCTGAGCTCATTCACTTGCGTATTCCACAACCCTTTTTAGGTAGTATAGTCACTTCTATTAATACTACATACTTACTTACGCCTGTTACTCTCAATGGAGCATAGACCAACGACCAGCATTCTCCAATCCACTCTGTCCTGGACCTGCTTTTCTAGTTACATCCAATTCTTGTTCATTTTACTCATGTCTATCTCCATTTCCCGGCGTAATGTGTTCTTTGGTCTTCCACTCCTCCTCTTTTGGCTTTGGGGATTCAATGTGAGGGCTTGTCTTTTCATGCAGTTGGGTGCTTTCCTCAATGTGTGTCCTATCCACTTCCAACGCTTCTTCCTTATTTCTTCCTCCTCTGGGATCTGGTTTGTTCTTTTCCACAGTTCGTTGTTGCTAATAGTGTCCAGCAAACGGATCCGAAGTATTTTGCGTAGAAAACTGTTAATAAACACCTGTATCTTCTGTTAATATATGTCGATACAAGCAATGTGAACTGGTAGTTATGCCATGTGAAGGTTTGCGTGAAATTATGGTTTTATTCATCGAAATGACAATAAACTTGGAAGCAGAAGATATTTTCCTAATGAGTAAATATTCAGTCTAAATTTCGAAATCATCCTGGTTAACTTGTATCTATTTGCTGATGAATTGCGAACCCTTTTCTCAGAAGCAGAAACAATACATGTTACGTAATTACGGATTCGTACTTCTTTTGTACACACAGAACAGACTCCATTTCATAGATGACAAGAGTTTCTGTTGTTTTAAGGAGTAAAATATGAAGGAATCTCAATGGATTGGACGATTTCTGAAAATAACCTTAAAATGGACTTATGAATCAGTTGAGTGATTAAAACCGATCATATGTTTACGTACAGAGCGACTAACTCTTGTAGAACCACACTGAAATATGTCCTCGTATGCTAGTTATAAGCAAAGTTTAATGGCCCGGGATCTGACTTCAGTTATATCGTATGATTGATTGTTGTAAAAATATACATTCCGGTTATCCTTGTATAAAATTATCGACTTAAATCGCGTTAATGAATAACGGAATTAAATAAGTTAAATAGGAGAATGAATCTTGGATATGTATAAACCATGCACTCATTGATTTGAACAGGCAATCAGGGAATGAAGCTAAGGGAAGAGAGCGAAGTGAAATGACGCTCAGCAGAGATGGCTTTTGAGCCAACTCAATTTAATCGAACGTTAATCGGTATTTATAATCGCACAAAAACAAGTTATAGAAATGTGATGAATATGATAAGTGTACACACAAACGCTCACATAAAAACAGTCAGGATTGATAAGCGAATAATTAACAAGGTCAAAACGTTACTCAAGAAGAATGGAAAACGTGGCTGTCCAGAAGCTAGAATAAGGTATATGGAATTAACATAGTAGCCAGCACTACAAGGGACAAGCAACGGTCCATTTACACCTACCAGTTTACTTGTTCATTTAAACCAAAGTGTTTTTAACTTTAAAATTAATAGTGGAAAGGATTTGTAACTCAAGTGAATGATTTTGAAGGTGTTTTATTCGCTTAGCTGGATGGTTTGATTGTGCAGCTTTCATCGTTCTTTTGAACAGCAACAACTTCAGATAGCTGAAGTTTGCGCTAATGATGTTGTTCAGAATATGGATGAAATCCCCACGATTAAACCATCCAGCTCAGAGCACAAAATTTATCAGCATAGCGTTGTTGAGATTATTACGTTTTTGATTGAGATCATGAATAGATTGATATTAGACCACGATTGAAAACCTGGAAGCACTGGATGGCCGTTTCGTCCTATTGTGGGACTCCTCATCAATCCGCATCCACGATCCCGCTCGCGAGACTCGAAATCAGGACCTTCAGTCTTGCGTGCGAACGCTTAACACCAGTAATTCATCTTATAATTTCATTCTATGCTTAAAAGTTTTATTTATTTAGTATAGACAATTGTTCATTGAAATATCATAAGTTTTTGATTTTCTTACAGTTTTGCAAAATGGAACGATGATTATCTAGGACATTTTCAGTTATTCAGTCATAAGAAACATAGTACCTGTCACATCTATGCCTTGTTTCAACTTGCCACACTATATCAGGAAAGTGAGTTAAAAGACAAATTACAAATTAGGAGAGAGTCTGATTCGAATAGAAAGAATATGATAGGTGTTCTGATTGAATGCTTGATTCGGTTTCTGAGCTCTTCTAGTAATCCTCAGGTTAATTCTACACAGAGACTTGAACACGAGAGAAAAAGCGCGAAATAAGGAAGAAACGTTTTACTCCAAGGTTTGTTTATGTACAGATGGCCTTGAGCTTCTGGAAATTTCTGGAGCGCCATTAAACATAGTAGCAGTATAAGTAATCATCCAATCAAAATACACGTCATGTTATTTTTCACTTTCTAGATGTTTCTGACACGACTTCTATTGAATGCTGATTGCATAAAATGTTTTTCAAAGTTTTCATAGCCGTTTTTTGACTTTTTTTCGAGGAATTTTCTGAATCTCTCCAACAGAACGAATTCATAGAACAAAGAGTGTAATGAAGAATCAAAAAAAGAGACAAAATATAAATGTATCTGTGCTATTGCAACCAATCCTAGCCAATATCATAGTTTACATATGCGTTTTTTGGTGTGACTATCATTTGTGAACGACCTTTTATCGACGCCAAATTGACCTTGAGTGTGTCTACCTACTTATCAGCGCTAAATATGAGCTACAAAGCATTTTAAAGAATAAGGATTATGATTTACAATCAATGGTTAGGGTTTCAAATTAGGTTTATAATGTTCATCATTTACTGATATCAGCTATAATGACAAGACTTTATTTAGTCAAATAAATGGGTGATTTTCACACCGAAATCCAGGATCTGTTATCATAAATCTGATTGATTCGTCCGTAGTCTCCCTTTTTTTACAATCAATATCATTTCAATGTATTACATCGAAATTATGTAACAAGTTATCTGATTTCCAAAAAATATCCACCCTTATCATTGATAAATATTATAGTTTGATTGAAACCAATAGTGAAATTCAATTCATCTGTTTCGTCTTAATCCTTATCGATCCGCTAGATTTATCTTCATCTTAATAATACTGTTCAACACAGATTTGAATTTAAAAGCTTCTCTCTTCACTTGTTAATATACTAGTATAGGGGTTGTGGAGATTATTAAGTTTTCGATTGAGATCATGAACCGATTGATGTTAGACCACCATTGAAAACCTAGAAGCACTGGACGGCCGTTTCGTCCTATTGTGGG